CAAATTGCAGATCCAAAGTCAGAAACATCCTTTTGAATTTTTTTTTGGTTTATCATAAATAATGATTCTGATTTTTTTTTGTTTGGTTCTTGTTTACATCACAGACACACAGAGAGAAAAAGCTAATCAATTTTATTTTTGTGCAACCAAAAAACAAAATGATAAGAATAATGAAAATGACAAATGAACCAGAAATAAGAACAATTTTTTCATTTTCAATCATCATAACACTTTTCTTTGGAACATTGAAAAAAAAATATATTTTTTTCGATTAAAACCAACTATTTCGACAAATATAATCTATATTAACATTCAGAATTGAATTGGCTATTGATTATTATCATCAAATAACATCATCAAACCAATAGCAACAACAAAGTTGATTCAAAGACAAATTTCATTAATTTGTTTGATGATCGACATTCAGTTCAATTCATGATGATAATGATAATGATAATAATAATGATCATTCAGAAATTCTGTGTGATGAAATGATTATGAACCAGAGCAAAAAGCAAAGATGAAAAAACAACATTAAGCAACACAGCAAAATAATAATAATAACGAAAAAAAAACGGAAATGCAAAAACGAACATGGAACGGAAAGGAAAAAAAAAAGAAATCATTTTCATCATCATCATCATCATATAGATTTTGAGCAAAGATTTCCGAATCAATCCCCAAACGATGACGATATAGGAGAAAACGATGATGATAATCATCATCATCGACCGGAAAAAAAATTTTTTCTTCCATTGGATTCAATGGATTGAACCAATTTTAGACCAGAAAATTTTTTTCTTTTTGATTATCATTTTGGTTATTTAAAAAGATTGACATTATCAATTGTCATTGAATGATTTTTGCAGTTCAGCTAAGGGAAAAAAGTTTTCCAACAGAAAAATTATTATTCGGGAGCAAATAGCGAACAGCAACAAACACTTTTGCAACACATAACACATAGATAAAAAGGGGGCAAAACAAAAGTTTAATAGTTATTTTTTCCGCTTTGTTCATCATCACCCCCCTCAAATTGAAGAATTTGTTGTTGTTGTTGTTGTTGTTAAGATTTGTTGGTAATCATCATCAAAATCATTATAAAAGTTGGCCCAAGCAAAATTACAACTTTTAATAATAATAATCGAAAAGCAAAAAAATTCTGTTTCTATGTCTGTCTGTCTGTCTGTCGAATCTAAGATCAACAACAACAATAACAATGAATAAACTAAGTTTAGTAGTAGTAGTAATGATGGAAAATTCTTCATCGCTGAAGACTTTCTTACATTCTTGAATTTTTTTTTTTGAAGATTTATTGAATGAAAATGATGATGATGATGATATAGCCACATGAAATGAATGTCAATTCTGTGTTGTGCGTTGTGTGTGTGTGTATTCTATGGAATATCGCATTTCTTTCTTTTTACATTCATTCATTCATTCATGTTTCGCGGTTATTTTAGAATATATTTTCTCTCTCTCTCTCTCTTTTGCACACCCATCATCATCATCATCATATCGTTATAAGGCAGAAAAAAAGCGGAAAAATGCAAAAAAAAAGAAAAGATCCAAGATGATGATTATGTGATGCACGACTTCAATGTATGTGAGTGTGTGTGTGTGTGTGTGTGTGTAAAATCTAATCATTTATCATTTCGTCGTGGGCATACATAGCAAAAGAGATAGCATGGGAGAAATATATAAAAAAAAAGACCAAAAGTTTGTTCCATTCCGTTTCATCATCATCATCTCTATCTTTTTGCGACTTTTTTTTCACATTCATTCATTCAAGTGAGGGTGACTCACTGTCTCTCTCTCTTTTACAAGTATACTTAAACAAATCATCTTTCTATATTTTTTTAGAGCAGAATATACAAGACCCTATTTGAATGAATATTCTCTATTATGAAAAAGAAGAATATACAAGAATCAGTTGAGAATGTAAAGAATGATAGCAACAACAAAAAAAATAAGGTGAATGAATTGAATTGAATTGAATGAATTTAAAATTCAAAATTCAATTCCATAAATTTTATTTTCAATGAAAAAAAAAATTTTCATGTTTTGTATTCATCATCTTGAACAACAACAGCAAGAATATTCTTATCAAACAAAATGATGATGACAGTTAGAAATGGTTTGCGCGTATAGAATTCGAAATGAATTTTATCGATGATCATTATGATGATGATGATGATGAGGATCATGATGATGGAATGTCTGTAGTTCATACTTAAAAAAAAACTTCTAATTGATTTGATTCGTTGAACGAACGAATTCTTTATTCTTTGTTTTCTATTTTCGGCTTGTTTTTTTTTTGCTAGAATCTCAAGCCATAAGAAATGAATCGCAACCGAATGATTTTCTTAATTTTACTTTTTTTTTGTTGCCTGAATAAAATGACAAGCAAAAGAATAAAGAAATTTGTTCCAATTGTATATTCATCATCATCATCATCATTGAGAAGTTTTTTCGAAAAGAAAAGTGTTTTGCAAGTATTTTCATGAGTGAATTGTGTACGAAGAATAAGGCGAAACAAATCACCTAACATTAGCTGAATCAACCATGCGAATCATCATCATCATCATTATATGGCCAAAATATTAGAATGACGGGCACAAAAATTCAATGACAAAATAAAAATGATATTTGTAAATGAAAAATAGTTTCAAACAAGCAATACTGGCTCAGGAATGGTGGATAAATTTAGAAATCTGCAGAAGAATCTGTGGTCGATGAATTTATTTTTTCTCGTTTTCAACTCAGGAAAATAAAGTGAAAATAGTGAAAATGATTCTTTTCAACAACAGCAATTAACAATTTTATTTACATATTTTCTTCGCTGGGGGAAAACATTCAAAATAAACGAATAGATAGGAATCAAAGATAACAGGAAAAAAATCAATTTTCTCTTTAAATCAACATGATTCAAGTGATATACCAATTTGGATTTTATTTGATTTAGAAACGAATTTTTCATCAAAATGAATAATAAATTTTTTTTTCATCATCCTCGTCGTCGTCATCGTCGTTTTTTTTAAATAAAGTAAATAATAAAGTTAATGTTTGTTTGTCTATATGGATGTGTTTGTGTTTGCGTGAGTGTATCTATGTATTCAAGCTTTCGATTCCATTATCAATTCTATAGGAATTTTCAAAATGAATTATCAAACAAACAAACAAACACATACACATATTATCAACGAGAAAATCAAACTTTGATTTTTTTTCTCTTTCTCATTCTCTATCCAAAAAAAGTTTGGTAAATATCAATTTATAGATCGTTATTAAACTATCGTTACTGTACATATAGGAAAAAAACCACAGATACGAAACGAAGTGAAAATTGAAAATCGTAAACAAATATAAAGCAACCACTAAACACCCAATAGCCATAGAAGAAAACAAAATTAATTTCAAGAATTTCTATTCGAGATTAAATTCGATGGCCACAACACCACGCTATATTTGGATTTGTTTTTTTTTCACTGGAAAATTCAATTCATATAACGGAAAATTTTTTTGTTGTGAAGAAATTCCAAATAGATGATGAAAATTTCTTCATTCAATTTTATTTATTCTGTAGATAAAAAAGAGAAAAAGAATAAGCATTTTAGATTTGAAAAAATTCTCTTCTTACACAATTTTTTTTTTGTTTTGTTTGTGAACCAATATCAAAAATGAATGGTTAACCACCAATGGAATAAAGAAATGTGTCGAAAAAAATTGTAAGGAAACAAAAGTTATGCAATGAATTCATAATGAAGTTTTTCTTTTCATTTTTCATTTTTCGTTGTTGAAAATATTTCGATTTAAACTTTTTTAAAAACAAAATAAAAAAAATTTCATTTTCTTCAAATTGTCAATCGGATGGAAATTGAGCCTGTTTTTTTGTTTTTTTTGTTTTGTTTGGGCCAACAAGGTTAAAATAGAACAAACCAACAATCGAGTCAAATTAGAATTGAATTTTTTTTTTGTTTTGTTTTGTTTGCCGCTTGTAATTTCGTTTTGTTGCAAGTTTTCCAATTGTTATTCAAACGAAATAACAATCAAACAAAAAAAAAGTAATTTCGATTCAGAAAGAATCCAAGTTCATTCTTTGTCATCATCATCATTGAGTTCAATTTCCAAATTCGATTTTATTTTCATTCATTTAAAATGGCGAAAAATTCTACTGATGATTAGTTTCAATGTTTTCTTCTTTTTTTTTCTGGTACAGATCCACTAATGATTATGACATTTTTGTTTGAATGTTATGTAATAATGCATAATGTGTTTGATGTTAAATGTTGACAATCAAATGAAGAAAATGAGCTAATTTACAAACAAACAAAAGATCTTTTCTTTTCTTTTCTTTTTTTGTTGTTGTTGGTGAGTTTACATTAAGTTATTTTCATTTTATTTTATTTCATTTTTTCCCTATACACACATTCTAGGATTGTTTTGGTGATTGTACGGGATGTAAAACTGGTAATAATAATAATAATAATAAAAACGCCAATAACCTTTAAACCGAATTTTCGATTTTTTTCATTTCCAATGAATGAAGAAAATTAGATCAGAATATTCATTACCATCGTTTTTCCATCAATAATCATGGATTCTTTTTCAATGAAAATAATAATTTTTTCCAATACGATTAATGATCATCGAAGAAAATTGAGAAAGAAAAACTCTCGAAAACATTCGAAAAAATTCCCGTGAATAAAAAAAAAACTATCAAAACTAACTATCG